AATACCTAAGTAGATAGGTATGTACTATTGTACTAAAGACCTATGTTATAATACATATATATTTTCAATGTACCTACCTATTACATTTTATTTTATGTTATTGATATTTTTTTCTAATTATTAGGTACAAAAATGCTCTAATCAAATACAGGCCAACGACCAAATGGATGACAAAAGGATGAAAAAATCACATATTGTGGTAACAGAATGGCTAAAGGTAGGAATAATTTATATAATATTGTGATTTACATAAGTAATAACAAGTATTCAATTTAGGTTAAAAGAATTTAATTAAGATAGTTGATCAAATATATTGATGAATAGGTTCTATAAATGATGTAATGATAATAAATAATAATATCTAGGTAGGTAGGTAATATTCATGAATGTAAATTTAATAACACAATAAAATTAACCATATAATATACCGGAATATGGGTACTTAATCCTATTTTATAATTAAATACATTTTGAAATAATTTCAAGTTATTAAACTTATAGTCTATAGAATAATAATAATAATATTGTACAAACAAAAAATTAATTTGAAATCAAATTTTTAGATAATTTTATTTTTATATAATTAAAATTAATTCATGAACATTATTGCATTAATTTCTTCATAGTGACATAGTTCAATGTTGTATTTAAAACATCCTAATTATTAAAATAATTATAACATTTACAGTGAAAATATTTTAATTATTTTAATATTTTTTTCAGAGTGTAGACGCAGGCTCTAGAAATTATGAGTATGATCCAAACATAGCTCATAGCTCTAATAATAGTGTTGCTAATGAAATTTCAGACTATTTGATGGTCCATAATGCTGCTGTAAGATATTTATAATTTATCGTGATTGAATACTACAGCTTCTATTATACTGTATTGCATTATTCATTTTTTAGGGTATAGACACAGGTTCTAGAAATGATGAGTATGTTCCAAACATAGCTCATAACTCTAATAATAGTATTGCTAATGAAATTTCAGACTGTTTGGTGGAAGATAATGCTGCTGTAAGATATTTATAATTTATCGTGATTGAATACTACAACTTCTATTATACTGTATTGCGTTATTCATTTTTTAGGGTATAGACACAGGTTCTAAAAATGGTGAGTATGTTCCAAACATAGCTCATAGCTCTAATAATAGTATTGCTAATGAAATTTCAGACTGTTTGGTGGAAGATAATGCTGCTGTAAGATATTTATAATTATTGTGATTACTATAGCTTACTATAGCTTCTATTATACTGTATTGCATTTATTCATTTTTTAGGGTGTTGATTATGGTCCACTTATTTCAAGTAGTATTGTGGGGGAGCTGGGTGTTAATAATCCAAACTTCCTACCATGCAATTTACTTGAAGAAAGGTTTTTGAATGACGCTATTGTTATTGAAATACCGCATGACCCAAATGTAACAACAATACAAGACAATGTAGAATTATTAAACACAGTAAACTTTCCTATGAAGTCAGATTCATCAATTCATACAGATCCTGAATACATTGATCCAGTATTAGAAGTTCAAAATGGAAGAAAAAGAAAAAATATTAATAAAAAGGAAGAAAAAAAGAAAATGAGAAACACATTGAGCAGTAAGTGGGAATTGACATGTAGTCACATTGAAAAATCAAGACCAACAGTATGTAGAGTTTCCGAATTAACAGAAGAAGATATAACTGAATTTAAAAACAATTTATGTCAGATAACTGATAAAATAGAACAAGATAAATATTTACTTTCAATGATAACTGTTTCCAAAGCTAAAAGAATTGAACGAAAGAAATCAAATAGGCCACCTCGTTTAGTTGCAAATTATTTTATTCCTGTTATTATGGGTAATATGCAAAAAGTTTGTGCTGAAGAATTTTCATCGATTACTTCTATTTCCAGAAGACGATTGAAAATTTTAAATAAGGAATTTATGTTAACTCATTCTAGTCCAGTAGAAAAAAGAGGTGGTTATCGACAAAATTTTATTCAAGAAGAAATATCTGATTCTATAGAAGGGCATATAAAAGACTTAAAATGTAGGAAAAGTCATCACAGTCGACGTGATTCTGGCAGAAGTTACCTACACCCAGACTTGTCAATAAAGTATATGTGGAAAATCTGGAAAAAAAAAAGAATTGACAATAATAAACCAATTGCTAGCTTGAGCAAGTATCAAAAAATTTTTACTACTAAGTTTAATTTAAGCTTCGGACATCCCCGTCAAGATACATGTACTTTTTGCTCAGAACAAAAGATAAAAATTCAACTTGAGGCTGACCAAGATCTAAAAAGGGAGCTCATATTAGAATTAAATGTTCACAAAAAAAGAGCCAAAAGATTTTTTGAACCATTAAAAGAGGAAAGTTCTGATAGTCTTAACTGCTCTTTTGATATGATGCAGACACAGCCAATCCCTAAACTTTCGGTAACAGACGTATTTTATAGTCGCCAGGTTTGGATTTACAATTTAACATTTGTAATTTCTGACTTAAATCAAGGGCCAGATAATTGTATTTTGTACACATGGAATAAGAGTGATAGTGTAAGAGGACCAAACGAGGTTTGTTCTGCCCTAGTTCACTTTTTAGACACATTGGAAAATAAATTAAAAAATGAAACTACGCCACCAACTATACTTAATCTCTTCTCTGATTCATGCTCGGGTCAAAACAAAAATCAGTTCACTATGGCTACACTTTTATTCTACATAAATTGTAAAGCAAAAATTTTCACCAAAATTAATCATATATTTCCTGTTAGGGGGCATAGCTATATGCCTCCTGATCGTGTTTTTGGGCGCATAGAACAAGTTTTACGGAAAAAAGAAAATATAATTTCACCCAAACAATACATAGATATTTTTAAAAAATTTTGTACGGTCAAAGAGTATAACAAAGATTTTTTTATTTATGACTACAAGAGTGCAGTTAAAAAAGTAGTTAAAACCAAATCAGAATTTAAGTCTACTGAACAAAAAATATATACATATGTTAAAGGCCAACAAACTGTTGGAATTTCCAAAACTTATAGTGGTGTAACGTGCCAACTACTTCAACTCAATATTGATGGTAATTTGAATTAAAATGACAATTTGTTGGTATAATGATAGTTTATTTGTATTTATTTAACACGAAAAATATTCTAAGTCCAAATAATTAAATTATAAAATTGTGGTAAACGGGTTGTGACTTAGTATTGACTTTGTGGCTGTTCTGCTAGTGCTCGTCGTCTTGGCTGTTGTTCGTCTGATGGACACTTGTCCATCAACGTATTTCGTCGGTTTTCCTATTAGATCCCTCCTATGGCATTTTTAGTATAAAAATGGTACATAGCTGCGTATACCTGACGTCATTTCGGCGTCCTCTACGAAATAATGTTAATTGGGATTATATGTTTTCAAAGTTATCAATTTTTGTTATTTACGGCTTTTTCGTCTTTCCTAGAATATGGATAATGCGCGCGTATACCTATTGCGCTGTACTATTAATTAGTTCTGTACTCTTATCGATGTGGCTGCCCGGACGCTTATATTATTACTATTATCGGGTTACGTGCCCTCTGCAGCATTTATATTTGTTATTGAATATAATATATTATATTACAAGCGTATTATACTTAATACAGCATAATATAATATATTATTTTATATATTATTACTATTATAATATGTACGTAGTCACAGCCCGTTACAATATAATGAGAAGAATCTAACTCATGAGTAGATAAACATAAGTCTCTGCAATTTTCAAACACGTCGGCTAGTATAACAAACATCAGTTTTTAAATAATGATCGCTATATTCACCTAAAGTCTTTACATTAAACACGTTCCACACATTTTTCGTATGTATATAATCATCATCACTAATTTTTTTTATTGGTTAAAGAGTTATAAAATTCAAGCTTTGAAAGTAAAAAATTTTGTTGTTTACGGCTTTAATAACTTTTAATAACTCAATCGCATATTCCCCCTTAAATAAAATAAGTCAAACAATTATTTTTAGGTAATATTAAGGAACATATTACCTTCATAAGGATGACCTCTTATTGATGCTGGTCTTGTGGCTGCTGTTGGTGTTAAGGGTAGGGTCTGTGGTATCGCTGCTGGAAGTGGTGGTCTTGCCTCTGCTGGAAGCGCCGGTCTAGCCCCTGCTGCTGCAGGTGGTGGTCTTGCCGCTGCTGCTGCTGCTGCTGGTGGTTGTTGTGTTTCCACACGCAGCGCCCAATTCAATTGCCGTTCTTCGTAAGCTGACGTAGCATGTGCAACTCGGCCAAGAAACTGTCACATGGTTATAAGCCCCAGAATATATTCATGAATTGAATTTTGAATCCTATTCAAATTCATTAGAACATTGTTTGGTTGTTTTCGCGTAGGGCGCAGGGTATTCGCAAGTTGTGTTCTTGTAATATGGACATTTTTACTCAGCTGTGTAAGGTGATCTAAAATTAATTTTAAAGATTAACCTACCTAATATTATCTATACTCTATTAATTATTATGGAATCATAAAAAATATACTTACCTAAAAATTTCCACAAATTTGGATGAACCACGTTAAACTTAATACGTAAAGAGTTGTGGAAACTTTCTACGTAATTATTAGTCCTCCTTGGTTGGCCATTAACTGATAACGCATGTACCCCAACCTGTCTAAAAACTGTTGAATGACAATTTTCTGTCATTCGTGTGCAAGACGGAGACAACAAAAGCATGGGTCCTTTTAAACACTTTTCTTTGTACATGTCATTGAATTTAAATATATTTTTATCTTAACACTAATATTAATTTAATTCATTGGAAAACGAAAAAAAAAAAAAAAATAAAATGAGAATTTTAATGCAAACGACTAACTTAAAGAAATGCATTTTAAAATATTTAAAATAGGTACTGCACAAAGCTAACAATTAATTCAAATATTTTACAGCTACTCCTTATTTTTATTTATAGAAATCCTGAAGCTGCTGGGCAGTACCCATATTCCACAGGTGAAAGCTTGATGAGACTGGCTAGGAGAAGTTCAATGCCAACACTGCCTTCTTCATTGGCCGGCTTGGCCAATGTGTTTGAATTGGGCAGTTTGAACCAATACTCCTGCTGTGAACAGTCATTTTTTCAGGGTTGTGTGCGCGATGTTGATGGGCGAGCAGCCATGATTTTTGCGTGCACTAACCTGATACAGTTGGTAGAAGTTAATAATATAGAGGAGATTCACATAGATGCGACGTTCAAGGTAGTACCGTCGAATATGGGAAAGCAGATGTTAAGCATACACTGCATGATTGGAAACCATGTATGTTATTTTAAGATTAAGATCATATAACTTAATACTGAATTATTAATTTAATATTGTATTACCAAAATACACTAGCTAACTGCAAAGTGAAAACTAATTACAAATTTGACTAAATATTTTAGTTTAGTTTTATTGCTATTTAATAATAATACAATTTAATATTTTATGATTTTCTTTCCTGTCTAGTCCATACCCGTTGTGTATTGCCTAATGGAATCAAAGTCGAGGAACTCATACAAGTGTTTTAAATTTTTTTAAATTAAACCTACTGACCAACATAAATCCTTCGATTATTATTACCGACTATGAGACGGCTCTAAATGACACCCTAACCTTTTTTTTCCCCAATGCACGTACTGTAGGCTGTTGGTTTCATCATAACCAAGTAAGTTAATAAATACAATTTAATTGGGAATTTTGAAAAGGCTCAACAATTTAAATTTGTTAGGAAACAAAAAACTGATTTAAATTTAAATTTTGTTTTTAATTTTAGTATTTTTTTCTAAAATTACAGACTATTAGGTTAGTTATGTTACTTCCATTTAATGTAATATTCTTCAAGTGAAATTTGATTGGAAAAATGATTAATTAAGTTTTCCGAGATGAGTCCTTTTCGAAATCACCCATAGTGATTTACTGATTTAAAATAGAAAACAGAAAACAGATATGCACGCCCTTTTTGCTCATAAAATATCGGTCTATATGTGTAATTGAAAAAAACGTGGACAAATCTACTTTCATAAAAACTTAAGATGGACCCTTTTTGGAATTCCCAATTCAATTTTTATCCATACAATTAATTAAAACTACATTTACATTTTTTATTATGAACCTCATTTCTTTATAGGCAGTTTGGAAAAATAAGAAAAAAAAAGGGTTTTTAAATTTAACCAATTCCAATCAAAGTGCTTCTAAAGCATTGAGAATGCTGTTAGCTTTACCGCTGTTACCAGCTGCTGATATAGAACGAGGATTTGATGCTGTGAGGATATTTGCCATAAACCAAAATGTACCAATGGTTTCTTTATTTGATTACTATCAAAAGTAAGAATACATTACAAAATGTTTAAATTGTGTATTATTTATAAGAGCTTGAGCTTTAAGCTTTCTATCTTTCTTTTTATATTTTTTATTTATTTAATTATGAAATGTTTCAGCACACAGGGTGCTATTACAAGTTATTATTTTTTAATATGAATTAGATTATACTAAGTACTTGAGTTATTTACATTGATATAATTTAGTAAATTATAGTTATATATAGTGTGTGTTCTTCAATGGGTCTTCATCTTGCTATCCGTTAGGAGAATGTCCTGGGGGAGTCAAGGTCGCAGATGTCTGTTTTGAAGCTTTCTTTAATTACATACATTGGTCTTTATTATTATTTTTTTTAATATAATGCTTGATTTATCACCATAGAAACGAATGAAATGTAAAAATTACCTAATTCCCTCTAGGTATATATAGAATTAATGGTTACGTATTAATACATATTTTGTGAACAATTAAAAAAAACTATAAACTAGGATATGTTTTTTTTTTATTATTTTTAGTTATTGGCTAAGACAGGTTGGGGTACATGCGTTATCAGTTAATGGCCAACCAAGGAGGACTAATAATTACGTAGAAAGTTTCCACAACTCTTTACGTATTAAGTTTAACGTGGTTCATCCAAATTTGTGGAAATTTTTAGGTAAGTATATTTTTTATGATTCCATAATAATTAATAGAGTATAGATAATATTAGGTAGGTTAATCTTTAAAATTAATTTTAGATCACCTTACACAGCTGAGTAAAAATGTCCATATTACAAGAACACAACTTGCGAATACCCTGCGCCCTACGCGAAAACAACATATCTATTCGAATATCCAATTTATATCTAAATGTTGTCTTTAATAGTTTAATACATTTTCATAAAAATAATTTTATTTTTAGGGAGTAATTATTGGCGCAGAAACCAAAAAGCCTCTCTACGTAGGGGTAAGAAATAAATATTGTAGCACATGTTCTTCTGCAACCAAAAATGATAAAAAATAGAAAATTTGTGTTTCCGAAATTATGATGGATCTTCAACTGGTATGGAACAAGATATTATTGTAGAAGGCTTCCGACAAAGCCTAGAACAACATGGTTTAATGTACAAATATTATATTGGCGATGGTGATTCGAGTGTGTATGCCAGAATAGTTGAAAAGGTGTCGTATGGTCGAGATGTTATTAAATTGGAATGTGCTAATCACATTACCCGTAATCTCCATGATGGTTTACGAAAATTGGCTTCAAATAAACATTTCCCAATTCATGTGCGTAAAATTTTAACTTATGGTTCTCCGTCTCCTCTAGAAAGACTTGTAAAAGGGGTACGGACTGCAATTAAGGAGTGTGGAAAAACGCATAATGTTCACATATTGCGAGAAGATTTAAAAAATGCACCCTTTCATGTTCTTGGTTCACACAAAAATTGTCGTCCTGCGTATTGTACACGGTCAAACACGGAGGAAAATAATAATGTTCCGCTAATGGAAAGTGGAAAAATAATGTCTGAAATAATAGCAATTGTTGATAAAGTGACACGAAAAGCTGACCGTCTAGTTTTTAACACCACAACTAATATAGCTGAAAACTTTATGAGTTTAGTAGCAAAATTTAATGGCGGTAAAAGAGTTAATTTTACCAGAACAGGATCATACCAAAGAAGAGTGTTAGGAGCAACACAAGTTCACTCAAGAGGCCAGTCTTGGCACTTAAGTCCCTGGAAAAAATTAGCAGGAAAAAGTCCCGGAAAATTTTTCAAAAAAAATGTATCGGCGTATTGCAATGTCAACTTTAAAGTCAAAACATAAAAAACAAAACACTTTTAGGTGTAGAATAAGTCGTGATAAAATTTCAGTGAATCATGATTTTGATTATGGTCCAGATGCTGCTGGGCTGGATATGACTGAAGAGGACTTTAAAATGAACTTCAGTAAAAAGTTGGAAGAATTAAGAATAGATGCGTCTACGACTGAAGCAATTGCAAATTTAGAAAAAAACACCATTGGTCAACATGATAACGTACACTGGCACGAAGCAAGAAAAAATCGACTCACAGCTTCCAATTTTGGTTCAGTGATTAGTAGAAAATCAACTACGCCATGTCACAATTTATTTAAGTCATTATTATATACAAAAAATATTATTTCAAAACATCTTGAATTTGGACGTCAAAACGAAAAAGTTGCTATCCGAGAATTTGAAAATCAATACCATAAAACTGTGAGACCGTGTGGGTTATTTATTGATGGTGTAAATCCCTTTTTGGGTGCAAGTCCCGATGGTTTAGTTGATGATGACAAAATAATTGAGGTCAAGTGTACGCCGTCTATAGGCCAAACACCTTTAAAAGAGGCAGCTTTAAATAAAAAGATATAATTTTGTTTAGAGCTTACAGAATTAGGTCAACTTCAATTGAAAAAAAACCATAAATACTATTGGCAAATTCAAGGCCAATTAAATATAGCAAAAAGATCAACATATATTTTTCTTCTATATAGTATGGGAAATAACCTATATGTTCAATACATCAACAGGGACGATTATCTTTGGACAAATAAGATGCTGCCAAAATTAATTTCTTTTTACATGGACTGCATGCTGCCGGAAATTGTAGATCCTCGAGTTCCGAGAGGTTTAAAAATACGAGATCCGGCCAAAATCACAAAAGCACAATTTTTAATAAAAAAAAAAAAAAAAAAAAATAGTGGTAGTGGAATAATTCTGTAAAAAATTACAAATATCGTTTTTCATATATTTAAATACATTAAAACATGAGTTAATAATTATTTATAAATTGTACTTTTAATATACCTACTACATAGCCACATTAGTACCTATCAGTGGTGTTTTGTACACCAGTTTACTAATTTAGTGTATACCACATGGCCCATACTAAAATTAATGAAAGACAAAGTGAAATAAAATATTAATATATTTATTATTTATCTTCGGTCAGGTTTGGTGTTAAGGGGACAACAATCATTTGTTTACTAATAATCAATCATCATGTTTTATGTATATATATAGCGAACAAATTACGAAAACCTCACTGGTAGGTACCTAAAATAATATTATATAAGACATAAGTTATAACTATTTATTTTTAAAGTTAAAATAAAGTTATTAAATTATAGAATATAGTAAGTACAACAAACAATAAAGTTTTGATACAGGAGATGGTACCAACCACGATTATATCAACAATATCCGCGTACCTATATTACCATTGATAGATTGATATACCTACTGATTGATGTAGGTATACAATATTCTGCGAGTAATACGCAGTTTTTACTCGGCCGACAGCTGACGGCATCTACACCGCTGCGACTACGAGTGAATAAGCTGCATATGCATGCCGGTCGCCGCCCGCCGGTTCCCACCACTCGGTTGTCATACCTCGCGCATTTGCGTGCGTACGTCAGGCATTAGAGGAGGAGCCAACAAAATTGAAAATACCAAATCTTAGTTCCTTCCTAAATAAGTTTTCAATGTGATTAGTTAAAACACATTGACCTCCTTGTTTTTTCATATGTTTTCCCGGGTTTTCGGCTTTAAAGGTAAAATGCCTATGCAGTACAGTTTTAGGAATACAGTGTTTTTTAGCACAGTCACGGTACGACATTCCGGCATTTTTATCTGCTAAAGCAGCGTCGATTTGTTCTCTGCTATATTGGGCTATACTGGGTTGTAGTATACTTTTGTGGCATATCTACAGTGAAAGATGTAGGCAGGTAGATACCAACTATAAATACATAAAAAAAATTATTGGCTTTTATCCTGAATGTAACGTGGATAAAATATTTAAAAATATATTATTTATCATATAAAAATAATTATATGTAGGTACGTATTAATTAAATGCATTTATTTCAAGTGTTCCGATTCACCCCATTATATCTGAGAACTATGACTAATCAAATTATATTGCCTATATCTCCAAAATATATGACGAGATTTTTATGAAATAAGTATAAAACCTCATTAATATATGTGTTAAAATGAAATATAGTGTTCAAACATATTTACCTTCAGTCTTTACATGCAGAGTTAACGAAGTTTTTCAGCTCCACACAAATCCCTAAAAAAATCAGTTTTTGATAATAAATTATCAGTGATAACAAAATTAGGTTATCACATATTGTACTAGTGTCAATATATTCCAAACGTTGTCAGGAATAATATTCCGGTGAATCGGATTTCATCAAAACAAATGTCGAGTAGTATTGTATGATAATATAAAGGATTTCTTTTTTTGTTCCTATTCCCCCTATTGTTCCTATTCACCCCAAACTACGGTATTACATTTTTATGTTTGCATATATTTGTTTACAATTATATGATTTGGATACATTATTGTTTACAAAAATTCACAGTACAATATTATTAACAAAAATATATAAAGTACAATCCACAATATATTTTTTATTATTATATATGTATACAACATTGATATTTCATTACTGTTAAGTTATTACAATATAAATTCAATTATTATTTATGTTAATATTCTATATGTTTAACAATATATTTTTTTTTATTATTGTTTTTTTTAATCATAATCTTATGTTAGTGTTAGTATGTTGATATAATATAAATTCTTAATCCTATTTAAATATTTTTTTTTTTTCATGCAATATATATTATATTATATTATTACGTATTTTCCCAAGACCATGTTAATAATACCAATCAGAGTTCCTTTATTCATTACGTTTATCTTTTATTATTCTTATAAAATGTATTCTTAAATTTTCCTTTTTTTTCATTTTTTTTTTTCCTATAATATATATATTTCCCATAATTTTATCATTATCCAACATATACTTCCTAATTATCATTTGCCTTTATCTATTTTACTACAGTTCCAGACCAGCAATAAACTATTTAGTCAAAGTTGTATTTCTGGTCCAGTCCAGCATTAAAATGATTTTATTCTACTGCATTTGTTTTGCATCTTGTTAATTGGAATCCTTAGCGTTCATTGTGCTATTTAATCAAAGTACCAATTTACGCTAATGACTAAATTAACAAGACTTCATTCATATAATATTTTCTTATTGAGATTTCTATGCATTCGATCCGTTGATGATCGTGTTCAAAAGTCCACTCTTATCATAACTTTTAAACCTACCACCAACAGATCAAATGTTTTCATTTTCTTTCTTTTGTTTTTATTCTTCCTATTGAGTATTTCAATCCGTCCGGAATATGACAACATGCCACTGATCGTCATTCAATATCATTAGATAATTATGCACCGTATCATATGTCGAACCGACTCTAACTTTTGATTTCGATTGTTTTTCTATTTTGTTCGGGGTATAATATCATGCCATAATCACAACCCATTATTTTTGATTACATGACACAATATAATACTCCGACTCGATTTAAAATTCAATATTCCTATTTATCTGTAATTTATAGAATTTATCTGTATTACCATATTATAATTATATTAAAATGTTATGTACAACTTCCTATTTATATATAAAAATTTTTAAATTTTTTTTTCTTTTCTTTCAATTTTTACATTTATTTCAAGCTGTGGATTAGTTTGCTGTTGAATAGCCCCAGTTATCGGACCCATAGTATTATTATTAATCTATTAACTTAATTTTTCATATAATATTTCCATCATGTCATAACATCTTAGATAAGTGTTTTAAGATTTGAGGACATATTGTGAATCGGTCTCTTTACAACTTAAAAGTTGCGTTTCCTTAAAAGTTGTGTACTCTTCCCGGTTTTTCGTAATTCCTGTTGTGATAATGTTATCATAGTCAGAAGACAGTCTGATAACAGATAGTAAAATAATATAATATCGATTATTGATGTAGTAGAGAGTCTACGTTAGCATGTAAAATAAAAAGATATAATAAAGAACAGACTATAACTATAACTAGTTTTAACTTCATTATTTACCCTACTCGAACATGGCGCAGTCGGTTACAAAAACCTAACTTCGGAAACAGCGATTGAAACGGATAAGTCATGAAGTTCAACAAACCGGAAAATTTGAAGTTGTCCGGAAGCTTAGCGGAAAATTTCAAAATTTTTAAAGATGAAATAACAGTGTTTTTTGAAGCGACGGAAACCACAAGTAAGCCAATGAAAACTCAAGTTGCCAGATTATTAAATTTGCTGGGCATTGAGGGGTTAAAGCTGTATAGGTCATTCAAAACAGACAATACCAAAGAAACAGTGGATTCTATTCTACAAGTATTAGAAGAATACTGCACCCCCAAGCGCAATGAAGTTATGGAGCACTTCAAGTTTTTCACAAGAAAACAATTACCAGAGGAGAATTTTGACAAGTATTTATCAGTACTTAGAAATTTGGTAAAAACTTGCAGTTTCGGGGAAATAGAAGATAACTTACTACGAACAAAGGTAGTATTGGGAGTGGCAAGCAAAGAGCTACAGGCAAAATTGTTAAGGAGTGATTTACCGTTCGAAAAAACAATCAAATCTGTCGAACAGACGGAAACCAATTGCAAAATGTTGGCAGACGATCAACCACAGGACATTGACTACATGGAGCGACAGAAGGGATTCAACAAAAAGGGAATATGGAGCAGAGGAAAAGAACAACAGGAGCAGCAATCGCAGAAACAAACGGTATTTAATTGTAATAAATGTGGTAGGCGTCACGGTATAAAAGAATGTCCAGCATATGGGAAAGTATGTATGAATTGTAAAAAACAAAATCATTTTGCGGCTAAATGTAGAAATAATAAAGAGGTTGATATGGTGGAGTGTGAGGACCAAATATGTGAATACTTATATCTGGATGAAATACAGAATAAAAATAGCAACACATGGGTGGAAAGGATAAAGATAAATAACAAAGACTTTGAAGTTAAAATAGATACGGGTGCTCAATTAAATGTTATGCCACAAACATGTTTTAAGTTATTAGGTGTAAAATTGTTAAACAGTAATGTAGTAATTAAAGCTTTTGGTGGCACCCAGATTAAATCTAAGGGTAAAATAAATGTAATTATTGAAAATAAAGAGAAAAAATTAGCTACTACATTTGAGATTGTTGAATATAACGGAATGCCAATATTAGGTTATAAAGATAGTGAAGGATTAAAGTATACAATGAGTGAAATTGAAGAAATAGAATTAAAGGAAAAATTTATAAAAAAATATAAGAATGTATTTAGTAGAATAGGAACTTTCCCAGACAAAGTGCAAATTAAATTAAAAGAATTTAGTGTACCTATTGCAAATAACCCTAGAAGAGTTCCAATTAAATAATTAGAAAAGTTGAAAAAATGTTAGTAAACTTGTGTGAGAAAAAGATAATTGATAAAAGTGAGGAGCCAAGTGAGTGGCAAAATAATCTAGTGTTGATTGAAAAACCAGATAAGTCTCTTAGGATGTGCTTAGATCCAAAGGATTTGAATAAATGTATTATAAGAGAAAGGGTAGAAATTCCTACGTTAGAGGAAGTAAGAAATAAGTTAATGAATAAATCATTTTTCACAATAGTAGATCTAAAGGATGGATTCTATCAATGTGAATAAGCAATACTGTGCATTTAGTACACCTTTTGGGACATACCAATTCAACAGACTACCATTTGGAATTGCACGTGCTCCTGAATTATTCCAACAGTTAACAAACAAATACTTTGGTAATATTAATAATGTATGTGTGTACATAGATGCCATTTTAATTAGTGGGGCAACAAAAGAAGAACATGATGAGGCACTTGAAAAGGTAATGAGAACAGCAAGGCAACTAAATATTAAATTTAATAAAACAAAATTTCAGTTCCAAAAAAATCAGATTAAATATTTGGGTCTCAACTTTAGTCAGAAAGGGGTATAACCCGACAAAGAAAGAGTAAGAGTGATTACAGAATTAAAAAGTCCTACAAACATCAAAGAGTTGCAATCAATTTTGGGCATGATAAACTACTTAAGAGCATTTATTCCAAATATGTCAGAAATAGAGGGACCAATGAGAGAGTTGTTAAGAAAGGACAGTATTTGGGTGGGCGGCACCCGTTCCGCCCAAAATCAACCTTTCCCGTTTCGCCCAGATACCCGTTTCGACCAAAGTCATTTTAGTCGTTTTCAAATTAAGTTGGCAATGATTTTTAAATAATATAGTATTTTAGTATACCATATAATATTATGCTTATGCACCTATTATAATTAACTATTAAAAAAAAAAATTACATAATATTATAACATATTACTTTTTTCTTATATATTCAATAATCAGCTATTTATTTTTTTACATACAATACAGGCATTTTCCCAATTTAAATTAATATTTCAATAAAAACTTTTATTTTAACTCTCCATCAATCATAAGTTGGTTAAATATTATACGCAATGAGATCCAGACAGAAACGTATATCAAAATGAATAGTGTTGAAATTCCCATAAAAACAAAAGACAGAAAGACGAAGGAAAGACAAGAATACAACGAAAAACGTATACTTTTATATAGATCTGGCGAAATTACTAGGTACGAATTTGTAAAAAGCATGTGTAGAAATTTTAAAAAAGAAAATTTAATAACTTAACTTAATTTTTATAAAACATAATAATATATTATATTGTGTAATGCTTTTTTTTTTAAATAGTTTTTAGTAGACAATAATATTTGTATAAATGTATAATATTGAGTATGTATTTTTTAAAAACTTTGGCAATGACTACAAAAATAAAAACTGGTAATTTGTATTATAATTTTTAACTGTAAAAATGTATTTTTAAATAATTATACTAAATATTAATTTAAATTGGGAAAATGCCTGTATTGTATGTAAAAAAATAAATAACTGATTATTGAATATAACTTAATTTTAGTAGAAAATAGTAATATGTTATAATATTATGTAATTTTTTTTTTTTAATAGTTAATTATAATAGGTGCATAATATTATATGGTATACTAAAATACTATATTATTTAAAAATCATTGCCAACTTAATTTGTAAACGACTAAAATGACTTTGGTCGAAACGGGTATCTGGGCGAAACGGGAAAGGTTGATTTTGGGCGAAACGGGCTGCGCCCATTTGGGTATGGAGCAAGGAATGTGAGGCGGCATTTAACAGTTTAAAAGATATTTTGGCACAAGTACCTACATTAGCAAATTATGACTATAGGGATAGTTTTGAAATACAGTCTGATGCGTCACAGAAAGCAATAGGATGTTGCTTGTTCCAAAAAGGTAGGCCTGTTTATTATGCGTCAAGATGTCTGAGCAGCACAGAACAAGATTACGCACAAATAGAAAAAGAAATGTTGGCTATAAAATTTTCCTGCGAAAAATTTCACCGGCTTATCTATGGACAGAAAATTATTAAAGTTCAAACAGATCATCAGCCTTTAATTTCGATTATGAAAAAAGATATACATAGGATACCAAACAACAGGTTAAGAAGGATGAGAGTATATTTATTGGGGTATAATCTAGATGTTCAATATTGCCCAGGCAAATATATGTATGTTGCAGATTTGTTAAGCAGAAATTATGCTACTCATACTGAGAAAACGGATAAAACATTAAATGATATAGTTCACACAATAGAGGCTATAAGGATTGAGTTTAATAATAACAAAGAGAATGAATTTAAAAAAGCAACATCTGAAGATATAGTATTAAGCAAGATATTACAATATTTGAAAAAGGGATGGCCAGCAAAAATAGAAGATTGTGTTGAAATTAGATATTTTCATAAGATAAGAAGTGAGTTAGTCTGTGAAAAGGACTTGAAATATTATGGTTGTTGTTTAGTTGTTCCACAAATAATGCGCAAATACATAGTTAACAAACTGCATGAGACACATTTGGGAACAACTAAAACAATAAAGAAAAGCAAACAAATATTTTTTTGGCCCGGGATGGTATCAGATATAACCAACTGTGTGAGCAAGTGTGAGACGTGTTTAAAGTTCAGTGAAAATAAAATTAAAGAACCATTGAAATCACATAGTATACCAGACTACCCATTTCAAAAGATAGGAATCGACATAGCGGAAATAAATGGTTGTAATTACCTAGTGGCAATGGATTACTATTCAAGATGGTTGGAGGTTCTAAAATTAAAAAAAAAAACAAGTGAGTCAGTAATAGAAGTGTTAAAAATAGTTTTTAGTCGACTCGGGGTCCCAAGGGAAATAGTGGCTGATAATAACCCATGTGGGTCACAACAATTTAAGGATTTTTCAAAAAAATGGCAGTTTACAATAATATTATCCAGTCCAAATTATCCAAAAAGCAACGGATTGGCTGAAAAAGCAGTGGGAATCGCAAAGGATATGATTAAGAAAGCCACTTATGAGAATAAAGGTTTAGAATTATTTTTACTTAACTATCGAAACACACCAGTCACTGGTCTTAAATATTCTCCAGCCCAGCTTATGATGTCTAGAGAATTAAGAACACCTAGTAATTGATGAATCAAAATATATTTAAACCAATAGTGGTGAATTGTAGTGTAGAAAATCAATTAAATAAAATTAAACAAAAACAATGGTATGACAAAAATGCTGGATCAGAGGAAAAAGTATTTAATAAAGGGGAAAAAGTAGTTATTTATGATAAGTTTAGAAAATAATGGAATACGGCTGAAGTAATGAGTAAAACCAAATGGCCTCGTTCCTATCTGGTTAAAGATGGGAAGGGAAAAATATTGCGTAGAAACACTCACTTCATAAAACCAGTAGAACAAAGTATTGTAGAAAAAACCACCAAGTATGATGATATCGAGGAAGGTGAAAAGGAAGAAAATACTGAATTAAAACAAAAAAATGAATCTAAAGAAAACAAAAGTGAACAAAAGAAAGAAAAGGAACCTAATTTAGAGGTAAAACAAAAAAGTGAGAACACTACAGTAAATAAAAAGGAATATTATACTACTAGAGCGGGTAGGCAGATAGTGCCATCAAAGCGTTATAATAATTTGTAAGTAGAATCAGTAATAAAATAGCATAGCACAATAGGTTAGTATTTTAAGTTGTTACTAAATTAAGTATAATAAAATAATTAAGTATTAAGTTCAGTTAAAATTGTATATTTTGTTGATTATGTATTTATGTGATTAAATGTTGTTTACATAATATTAACTATGAGATATATCTTGAAAAGGAAGATGTTGTGATAATGTTATCATAGTCAGAAGACAGTCTGATAACAGATAGTAAAATAATATAATATCGATTACTGATGTAGTAGAGAGTCTACATTAGCATGTAAAATAAAAAGATATAATAAAGAACAGACTATAACTATAACTAGTTTTAACTTCATTATTGACCCTACTCGAACAATTCCTACATATTGAAATTCCTGTTTTAGAATAATACTATGATTTTTATTCATTACCCCGTTTATACGCGTTTCCACCGGCTGTGGTATCGGAAGTATTCTATATAACGTAAGCTCCAATTCCGTTACCAGCGGTATCTTTATTAAGAAAACTATCTGGTTGTCTTTATAAAATACGGCTATTTTCGTAATCTTACTTAATTTGTAGGTATATCTCGTTCGGGTTAGTACCCATGTTTAAATTGATGAGTAGACACGTCTGAATACAGGCTGTTTTGGGGTCCCTCTTATAGTCCGGTCCCCGCTCCCCTTGCCTAGTGATACTGTATCTCGGTTCTAACGGATGTGGTCTATGTGGCTATCGACCCAACCACGCACTTGCGAAATTCCTAATCTATTCTGCGTATTATTATAATGTACTGACAGTTAGTTCGTGAACTGTCAATTTCGTTATGATAAAAAATTATCCTCTTTTATATTGAATACCCGTCATATCTAGTGCAATTGCAAAATATGACATCCACCTAATATATATGATTCTAGAGTCGTGATAACTGCTGTGGTATTATTTGAATATAATATAATAAAAATGTGAATTCGTGTATCCTTTCGCTTTGGTCATTATACTCCCATGGGTTGTTTGATTGTTTTATATTAGAACACAACCGAAGGTTACCTTAGTCAATTCCTATTTTCATTTGACGTATCTGATTGTTACCTATCTATAGTGTATTATGTTAAATATGTTACCTGCCGGAACTTTAAATGTTGCGTAGTAACTCGCTTACTACAATAGTTAAGTACTTAAAACTTACTTTTTCTCTCTGACGCCTCTGTATTATTGACCTTAAGTTATCTCCTGGTTCCTAAATTTAAAAAAAAATTGTATTATGTATCTAGTGGCTAGTATGTATATTGTTATTAATTATAATTCAATAATAATTACTAGTTCACGTGGCAGCCACCAACATCCACCTTTATGATTTTTGTAACACGTACTGCATTCTAGAACAACCATACACATTTTCAATAGTCCATAAAGTCAATAAAAATTAAATAAGTTTTGTAAAGTATACTAACTTTTTTTTGTGGATATTGACCCCCCCCCTTTATTGCTTTTCTGCAACGGCCAGTATGTCTTTTCTTACATGTGTGACATTCTTAAAAAAATTAAATAAATGTTTTTAAAATTAATTACTTACATTAAATACTTAATAGTTAATATACATCCTTGATTTCTTTTGTTCAGTTTTGATTTTCAGAGCATCTAAAAAAAAAAAATTATGTAAACAGTTAATTCAAAAAAATTAATTGTGGGCATGCTTACCGGCAGACTTGTGATGGCACAATTTTCTTTGACTCTGCTCCATCCCTTCCATAAAAATAATTATGGTTAATCTTAGTCATCTATATAACACATAAAAACAGGGTAAATAACAGTTTTGTAATATATAATATTTAAACTTAGAATAAAACACGAGACAAATAATAAAGACCGACCATATTATGGGGTGTGGGTGGTCCGATATGCATATACTCGTATACGTACGCATTAGGTACATATATACATTATACGCACTCCTTTTACATACACGCAGCACATGCAACACATAATAAATAATAATATTCTACACCTCTCCGACCAGATGCTTAGTGGAGACAACACAATCAAATTTCAACAGCGCCAGTAAACACCGTATATTATAAAATCATGAAAGCATTCTTTCATATACAATATACATATATATATATATATTATATACTTCAAGTCCCTTTCGATAATTCTCCAATCAAGACGTTCGGTCAAAACAAAACCATAAATTACCAGCGATACCTTTGTCGCACCGCATAAAATAATAAAATATATCAATACTTTAATATTACGTATTAATAATTGATGCACAAGAAGAAGGGATCAACCAAATTAATATTTTATAAGGTCCACAGAGAATCGACTCGTCGCCAGTGTCTATTCCGGAGATACACATGGTCCACGACAGTATCTTTCAGGAGAAGACTCATGCACAACGTCCACGCCAGTCAACATCACCATCTTTTCCACTACTGTCCAAAGGAGTGCTCATCACTGTGCGTTTATGCGTATACAATATATGTATATCGAATCATTCCTTCATCTGGTATGTCTTTCTAAATTGGTTGTCTCACTATCAGCAAAATCAAAATTGTTCATCTTTTACACTCACCTATCCATTGATCTTTTAAAACATAATTTTCTGTGACTATCATCATATTATAGGCCTGTTACATCACTACTGCACATTTATATTTTGGAACACGAGTATAGTAATAAGTGCTCTTTTAACTTAAATTACATTCGGTCGGCGATTTGACTATACGTACTCATTGTTACGAATGTAGGAACTCTAAGAGCTGTGCTCAAGATATAAATGTGTAATAACAAATATTCATCACTTTAAATTACATTCGGTTGGCGGAGAGACTATACGTACTCCTGTTACGAATGTAGGGATTTTGAAAGCATATGGTGACAGTCACAGGTAGAAATTGTATACGAAATTCTACAGATCAGTAGATCACATAAACGAATATACATATATTGTCATCGTGATATCGACTGTCGAACACGACCCCGAAGAACTACAAACCACTTAAAAGAAAACCAGCTGCAGCTAGGTAAGTGTTTGAATGTTTTTATAATGAAAGTAGGTAATTCAAATATCATTAGGCAGTTAGTTACAACACAGTAGTAGGGAGATCTAATGCGGAAATCTCCAATATTTATTATAACACACATATCTTTCCCTTATAACCATTACCTTCCCCTACAGCATATTTTCCCCTTACAACTAAATAGTTCCCAGCTTATTTTCTCCTTACTACAAATGGCGCCCAACAATTAGGCGTCGCAATCACTTTGACAATAATCTTATTTAAAATAAAAAATTTAAAAAAAAAAACCCAAACACGCAGATTGCAAATGAATACTATTAATGAACGAAGCTGATATTATAGAAAACCATTTACATACAAAGCAAAACAATATGACATCTGATAGAATACCACTTTATAAACCAATCAAATTTTCGGGTGCTACTCACGAAAACGTAAACTCATTTATTCAAAAATATAATAAAGCCAGTAGCCTTATTTTTTGGACTGCGAAACGAAAAAAATCATTTCTAGCCATATATCTACAAAACACGGCATCATCTTTCTTAGACAATTACGAAAATTGATGCCCAACCAGATATCGTTGTCACTACGATTTTACTAAAATAATTACAATTTTCAAAACATTCCTCAAACAATTAATATGTGATTTAAATCTTAGTAATCTTACTTTTCGTAATATTTATCATTGAAATTATAACATACATTTTTATTTAATTTTAACTCTCTATATCTTAATTATCTTAACATTTAGAATATTAAACATTTCGACTAATATAATTCACAAAAATTATAATTTAACCTCACATTAAGTACCTCATATTTGATTAAATTCAATAAATATAAATACAATTATATTTTGTAATAAACTAAATTTAATAAGTATAAAATAAAAAAATTAAAAAAAAAACTTTTGAATAGTTCTTTATAAAGAACCTCCAGACAAAATTTTAGATAATAGAAATAACCAACACCAACAATTATTTCACATTAACAAAATACATAAAATTTAATATAAATAAAATATAATTATAATAAATCATTAAACTTTGTAGGTTCTGTGCATATTACATTGAACTAGGTATTTACAAAATTAAATAACACATTAGAAAATCAATTTCCTTTCAAAAAAAAAAAAAAACTTTAAACAACCCAAATACTCTACACACAACAGTTCTAACAGCTCTAAAATAATACATTAATAAAACATAAATCCATAAAATTATCCTAAATATTATTAAAAAATTAAAATATAAAAATAATAATGAATTAATCAAACAATATCACAGCTTTAAATATTTCTAAATAAAAATCTTTATAAAAAAAAACATGTCAAAAAGAATACCCTTTTATAAGCCTACCAAATTTTCAGGAGCTATCAATGAATGTGTAAATTTATTTATCGACAAATACAACAAGGCAAGTCGTATTAATGGCTGGTCTTCCGATGAAAAAGTATTATTTCTAGGTATTTACCTACAAGGCACAGCAGCAACATTTTTAGACAATTTTGAGAATAAAAATCCGACTACCACATGGACAGATTTAGAAAATGCACTTCGATTAGAATTTGAGCCCATAGCAGAAAAATATATGCTTAAAACTATGCTACAAAAGAGAAAACAGCTACCCAATGAATCAATACCCTCTTACAAGTCTTACATCAATGAGGTGCAACACTTATGCAATAAAATTGACCCTATGATGTCACAATCAGACATAGTGTATACAATAATGAAAGGCTTAAGACCAGAAATTACCAAATATATAAGAGTTTTAGACAACAATAATTTAGCAGATTTAAAAAGAAACATTAAAAAGTATGAATCTATAGAATTTATGATAAATAAAGAAATAACACAATCTCCCAATGAAATCACTAATTAACGTATAAATACAATAAATAACGATAATACAAAACAATTAGAAAAATTATCATCTAAAATGTCTAACTAAATCGATATTAAACGATTTATTATTATTATTATT